CTTTCTCCCTTTTGGCACCCTCTTGTTCAGTGCCGCCCTCCTACCTATTGGTTCCCTAGTCCTTCCTGTTGAATGCTAATCGGGGCCCTTCTCCTATTGGCGCCCTCGTGTTGATCGCCGCCCTCCTAACCACTGGCACCCTCCTGTTGATCACCGCCCTCCTATCTACTGGCACCTTCCTGTTGACCAGCGCCCTCCGCACAGACGCCGTCCTGTTCGTGTCATCCTCTTGAGCAAAGGCGCCCTCCTCACCATTGCCACCCCCATTTTAATCGTCACCCTTCCGCTCATTGGCGACTTGCAGTTGATGACCGCCCTCCCACCTATTGGCGACCTCTTGTTGATCGCCACCCTCCTATTGGTGCTCTCCTGTTCCTCGCCACCCTCTTACCTGGTGGCGCCCTCCTGTTGATTGTTGATCGGGGCCCTCCTACCTATTGGTGCCCTCCTGTTGATCGCTGCCCTTCTATCCATTGGCGCCCTCCTGCTGCTCGCCAACTTCCTACCTATCGGTGCCCTACTGTCGAAACTCGGGATGTTGATCGGGGCTCTTCTACCTATTAGCGCCCTCCTGTGGATCGCAGCCCTTCTACCTATTGGCAACATCCGTTGATCGCTGCCCTCCTATCATTTATTTACTCCTTTGGCATGTTCTTCAACTTAGTCGTTCTATTGCACATAGTTGGTGTCTTGCCTGTGAAAACTGCCACAAATGAACGTGCATTCAGCACAATGAATGAAGTACCTATACCTACCAAAACTATCTACGCTCTACGATGCATAAAACACGTCTTTGGTCTTAACGGATTGATCCTACTTTACGTGCATCATGGCATCTAGTTATATGTATTACGATTAAGTATTGTCAACAGGTTCGGCCGCAACAGCAGGCATCTGAAGTTTCGGTGATTGAAACTGGTTATGTGGGTACACTGTATGCACCTGTGAGAAGGCTATGAAGGCTGGTCTGAGGTAATTTGGATGATGTTTACGCATCTCGCGCTCCGGTATCAATCCGATACGGTGATATGTTGCGTAGATATGCCACCGCCAATAAACTTTTATACATCGACACCCATGAGCCAAGCTTTCTATACAGTTTGTGTGGCAGCGGCCCGACCAAACCTTAGGTATTTTTTATACCTTCAAATTTGGTAAAAGAGCGAGAGGAGCTTTGAACAGTGATCGTATAAAAGGCGTGCCTAAAAAGCGGAGGAAAAGGTTGTTTTCAAAAATTTCGCGCGCCTTCGGCGCAGCATTTCAAGACCACTTGACCTTTTGTGACCTGGAGTATAAAGAATACGCACGATGCAAAATCAATGCAGCACGACCTATACGAGGTTACGCAAAAAAAAACTGGTGGCATGGTAAAAAAACGCCTCCCAACCCCCCCCCCCCCCCCGTTGAGTGATTTTTTATCTCGCGACCGTATGGCGCCCTCCTTGGGTGAGGTGGCGCCCTCCAAACCCTTGGCCCCCCCCTTCGCGATTTTCTAAATACGCCGCTGATCCTTCTCCTTTCTCTGTTCTCTCTCGCGGGGAGCATCGAACTCAGTGGGAAAATAGCCAAGCGTGACCGGAGACAGGGGAAAGCCCACCGGCAATCAGCAGCCATTGTCGGTAGTTTGAACGCTGATTGAAAACAATCGGATGAGATTAACACGGGCGTAAAACGGCTCAATCGATTTGATAGTGCTTTGAAAGTCACCAAACCAAGCTCAGGGCCAGAATGGACCGGAAATGTCTCGTAAACTAGGACTGGAAAACACCATAAAAGCGTTCAAGTGAAAATACGTTCACTTTATGGGACAGCGGCGATTGACACCTATTCCGACCATGTTATCATGAAGCCAATGGGCTGGGTTCTTAGCACCACCATTAGGTATTCTATCCTCAGCACTGAGCTGCCGGTTCTATCGATGTGAGTCAGCCGCCGAGAACGCCGACATCTCCATATCATTAGGCGTTTTTTGTCGTTTTTGCACCGCCACACCTCTGTGAGACGGTGAGAGCACGAGGTTCCCACACAGACCACAGCGAGCAACACAAAGTCACCCGGCCATAGCGGAGCTCACAGTGCTGATCTGAGGTCAAACAGATGGGACTGGTCGAGTCCGCACCCATTGCCATTTCGGACCAAAGCCGTGCCGGTGACTAGGGTCACTAAATTTCGCCAAGCCCATCGAATTGCGTAACAGCTCGCCATTAATTTTCAGCCATTCCACAAAGCCGTGAAATCTTACTAGTTTAATATGGCACACAATAATCCCGCACTAATAAATACGTGTCAGTCAAGCTCCACAATTCCAATCAAAGGCACACAATCCTCCCCTGATACCCCTCACGTGCCCGGCACAGTGACGAGTTCCCCTAGACCGAAATTGACGAGGGGAGAAGGAGTGTCAACTGTCAGGCAGCGAGGAGGGGATGGCCAGACAGCCTATCCGCTACACACGCCACAGGCGAGTCCCTAATGAAACCCATCCGGGCCGCGCTGAGTGAGAGAGCAGTCACTCAGCTCGGCGGCAGGGCGGTGGACGAGCCCGCACCTGCTGCGGTCTGTAACCCCCTCAGCCGCCGTCCGTCAGTACGTCTGTGAGGCGGCGGGCAGCTGGAGTGCGCGCTCGGCTCTCCGAGCCTCCCCTGGTGACAGGCGGAGACCTTCAGAGACGACTGCGGTCGCTGCAGACACCGGGCATGTATATTGGCTGACGGCGCAGCAGCGGGTGCGAGTGAGCAGCGCTAATGCTCTGAGTGGCTTGCAGGCTGGCACGCTGCACTAGTGGCGTTCGCATACTCATGCCAGGTGGCAGCTGGTATAAATGGGACGCTTCCGTTCCGTAGCAGTTATGGACAAACATGCTCCATCATTATGCAGGCAGCCAGTCTGACGGTCAGTGGTCGGCCGACCAGTCCAGTCCTGCGAACGACATAGGTCCAATCCCGCAGCCGACAAGTCTAGTCAAATAGTCTAGTCACCGGCTGAAAGCTTGTTTAGGACGTGTAGCTGCGAGGCACAATCATCGTAAGTCAGTTCAAGTCGTAGGTCACTTCGTCACAAAGGTCCGTGCCAGCGTCATCTGAAGCATCCATGGAACTGACCGCATGCTCCCGACTGACTGGCTAAGTGGCTAATCGCATGAAGATCCTCCAAGTGAGTTCGCATGAGGAATGAGGATCCTCCAAGTGACTGACGACATGATCCCGTATGACTGATCATGAGACTGATCACATACGGCCATACGCCGCGACTCTTCACCAGTTCCACCGCCGGCCAACGCACACACATCACACACGCACATAACAGACACGCACACACTGTGCAATGAGGAAGTAGCTGATGATGTTCCGAGCGCCCTGCCAAAATACACTAGATGGGATGAAAGTGATCTCCCCAGTGAGACACGCCAATTCTCAGCCATGATCTAACTTCAGGTTTGGGAGGGGGCAGACACTGACTGATTATCAAACACCATCAGTCCTGATCACATGAGGTGACTCACACTCTGTGCGATAACGTGATGTGATACCCCAGAAGGCTAACTTCTATAACCTTCAAAGCAGGCTGCACTCTGCCGCCTGGAGTGAAACAACCTCGCTGGTGTATCAGGCTTGACACCGGATCACCGATGGGACGGCAGGGAGGAAACAGCGCTGGACCAGAGCACAGGACGAGAGCAAATACACCGCGTCTTACAGCCACACAAACAGCCAGTTGTCCCCACTATCGACTCGACAAGGAACAATCATAGCAACTGGTTGCTACCCGGCGCTTCCTAATGGGCTATGCGCAATGCCAATGGACGCCGCGTCTCCTCCGTGCAATATCGTGAAATTGTAATTAATATACCTTACGCGATTCGACCATCCGCGCCACCCGAAACAATCAGTGTTTGTCCAAGAATTAATCGGTAATAGACTCACAGTAGCCTGTCTGTGGGACCATCGACCCTTGAGGGATTATCATAGGTAATATGGCTACTCCTGGGGAACGGTAGAGCGAGGGAGAGGGAGGAGGGAGAGGGAGAGGGAGAGGGAGGGAGCGGGAGTCTGAAGAGAGGTCGATAATGGATCACCCAGGTCCCACAGGTCCGACCCCAGCCCGATGAGATGCCCTCGGGGCGCAGAGGGAAGCCTGCTCCGTCCCGGGGCGAATTTCAATTTGCACTGGGTCTAGCACTCAATGGAATAAGCCGCTGAAATCCTGTCTGGAGTAATGGAAAACTGCATCCCAGAACGGGGGCCGGAGGGCTATGAACAAAAGGTCTCCACAAATTTCGTAAGAGCATAGGTGTGAGTGCTTTAGGGTTTTGGCTATTTGGGTTTAATCATGATTAACCAATTTATCACAAGAATTCATAAATCACCAAAGGAGCCAGATATTGCGGCTAACGTGAAATAATGAAGACCGACAGTGCCTTAAAATTAAATAATTAGTGGCCCTAGCAGCTGGGGAAAACCAGCAGCAAATGCGATACCAGCAACGCCCTTCATGAATACCTAACTGATAGGACAGGATGGATTCTGGAATGAACTTTTTCACCATTCTGGCCAGAGTCGCCAAGAGGGCGGAGACGGTCAGCTGACCACCAGCTGATTCCCCCTCCCCTCCCCTCCCAGAGCAGCCCCTCCGGCGTCCGGGGCCGGTCCGGCCCGGACCCCGTGCCCGATAACCGAGTGTCAATCGATACGCGTGCCGTCCGGCCGGCGCCAGGTGCCCATCGGTGCCCGATTATCGAGTCCGCCCGCCCCACCGGCCACTACCATATATGACGCCGGCCGGCCAATGTGCGGGCCTTGATAACCTTCAGCTTTATGATAGTCACCGGCGCAGGAAACACACTCCGTCAGCCGGCCCCGGTGGCCGGCCGGCCAGCTGCAGCGGGCTTGACGGACACGGTGTGGCATTTTCCTGACCTGCGCACCCGGCACCCGGCGCCGGCGCACCCCGCACGCACCCGCAGCGCACCCCACACGCACCCGCAGCGCACCGAGACTGACCTTCGGAATGGACGGTGCGTGGCGATCGGCCGGGCGCGAGAACAAAGGCCAGCGAGAGCGCGCTGTCCGGTGGACAGGCTGCGCTCCCGGTCCGCCGCGGCGGGTGGCGAGGTGACTGTGCCCTCTAGGTGGTCCCAGGGAGGTCAGTAGCCTCACGACACGCTGAGTTGGGCGATAGAGCTGCGGTCCGCTCCGGTAGTCCTGAGACGCCTCGCGATTTCTATCGCCAGTCGCCTGCTTCCTCAGCAAGCTCCTCGCGTCTCAAACGCCGTCACCAACTGCAGGAAAATCGATGTCCCAGTCACTTCGGCTTCACTGCAGCTTCATGCCTCCCATGCAGTCCAACGAACTTTGAACCCACCACAGCCACGCAGACTTCACGGCACCATCGAATTCACTGACGAGGGGTTCCTTTTCACTCACTTAGCCAAACCGTCCACATACCGACCAACAACAAGTCAGCAGACGTCCACACCAGCCCCCACTCTCCCTCACCACCCCTCCACCCAGTCCGCCGCAGTTTTTCGACGGAGCGGCATCCACGGCACACACCCCTCTCACAGCTCGGCGCGACTGGCAAACGGCCGACGGCCGGCGCCCGCCGCCCGGCGGCCGCCCCGACTCTGGTGACATCAGAGTGACGTCACGACCGCCGCCCGGGCGGCCGGCGAGGCTCGCCACCTCACTACAGACACTACAGAGTACAGACACAGGACCGGTACGGTATTCGGGTGGTGGTGACTGGCAGACCCGGCGACGTGGATTTCCGAAACGTGTCGGCGAAGCCAATCGGCTAATTTGGAAATCCCTTACCGGGTAATTTCGTGATGATTTGAAGAAGCGTTCGGTGGAAGTTGCAACATTGCATCTGCCGCCACAGCGCCACAGCGCCACAGCAGGCAGCAGCTATAAAGCTAGTGCAATGGATTTCAATTTTCAGGAGCGGAAAATATAACATGTTTACATGTGTATTTGTGGGCAGATATGCATGTCAAAACGCATTAATTTGTACATTTTTAACTGCTCATTATGTACAAGCAATGCATAAAGAAAACGTTAATAAATACTACCTAATAGATGCTTTGGGAATGGATAGTTATGCTATTGGGTGGAGCCAAGAGCCGCCAATGAGCCTGAGCATTCGAATGTCCACTAGGGTGGTTCACATTTACATGGTAAAAAATAAAGTTCGTCAGATTCATCGGGCCGGGTCGGAATTCTTGTCGATACTATAGCACAAGCTTCTGTGCAAAATTTCATTAAGATCGGATGATTTTTTCCCGTCCCGCAAAGCGGTCAAAGTTTCCATTATACGTACCAGCCTTTAGTATAGGGCGAATACTTGTCTTTCAACATTGCCCAGTCGCGCCAGCGGCTATCTACCAAGGAGCTTGCTTGCTCAACGCACCAACCCTCTCCTGTCTTCTCAATGATAGATCTAGTCTTTCTATCAGCCACAGGCAGGAACGATAATCCACAGTTCCTGTTGCAGTTCCTGTTCTCAGTGCCAGGAGCAAGGCCCTGTATGCCAGGAGGTGCGAATGCATTACGCTAGTTATGAATTTGCCTGCGTCTGGGCTGGGATGGCCGCTGAAGCTGCAAAAGACACACGCTCAATCACCGAAATGTGGCTTGTTTTGGCAGTCAGAAGCAAATCCGTGCAGGATGAAACAGCCTCTTACGAAATGCATGACGCATCTTTTCACTTTACACACCATCCGTCTTCAGGCCCCGGACTCCCGAGATCCCGTCTTTCAAGCCGTTTGTAAAGTGGTGGCAGCTCACGGATCGAGTGTCGCTCAAACCGCTCAATGACTTAATCGACTTGGCCGACAAGATGATCGTCACCTGACGCGCATTGCTGAAGAAGCAGCGGCCCCGTGATGACTACCGCAATGTGGTGTACTTCACCATCGTCGTGATGGACGGTGACTTGGAAGCGAGCATCCTGAAACCGGTTGCCCTACAACGTGCTCGTTGGATGGCAAAGGTGATCAACACGTAAGATCTCAACACGTAAGTCAAGAACACTCTCAAGAACACTCTTCTGTCAGCTCGCGCTCACCGAGCACGAGAAGAGGACGATGGTCCGGTTCACCACCTTCATCGTCACAAGGTAAGTAGGGCTGTCTGCCCACTGATCGACCTCAGCATCGTGAACTGACATCGCCCTCCGCAAAGGCTCCTTCCTACCGCTTACCACACAGATATCGGACGGTAACCGGGCAAGGTGATGGGCATGGCCAGGGGGCGTCGAAGTCTAGTAGGAAAATCTGGCAATCCCCGGCGTGACGTAACGTCGGGGATGACCGACGGCACCTTGCACTGAAAGATACGGCAGAACGGCTATTTTTGAAAAATGATTAAAAATACTTTTGTGCTGTTATGACATATAAAACGCTTATCAGCATGTTCCTCATCATGTGATAAAGCCATATCCGTGGTCGAAAATAGCTGAGCCCCTCCCAATTTCCAACCACCGACCTCATAAGCAAAGGATGCAAGCGTAATCCTTAAGGGCGACTTTCCTATACATATCCGTACAAATGCGTCCTTATGGAAATCGGTAGTGTGGCGATTGGCGACGCGCGCGACATCTGTGTGGCGACCAAGTGGCGACTGTGGCGACACCTGGTGGCTGCTTTTCTGCTGTGTGAAGGCATTGGGGTTTTGCCAGATATGGTTCCTACTGCTACACAACTATGTTGACCCAATACTAGAAAGTTATTTTGCCAGTAAAAGGCAAGCAAATTGAAAGTCAATTTATAAAATTGTTTATAAATGATAACGAGAAAATAATAAAGAAGTTTTGATTGAAGAGTTATTAAAATACCCAACCGTGAAACTATATTCTGGTAGGTTTAGTAGACAATAGTCCGTGCAACCTTGTATTTAGGGCCTTAGGCAAGGCCATCGGTCTCTCCTTCTTCAACGACGGGACGACGGTCGAGGAAAAGAGGCGATCGCCACCTCCATGCAGCAGCGGCTGAGAGAGAAGAACCCTGCCGCGCCGAAGTCGCCCTCGACGCAGTGGGGCAGGGCAGCGCTCGCTGGCGTCGTTTGCATCTGTCGGTCGGTACATCCCTCGGGGCCAGCCACGATTTCCTCAATGTCGACTCGGCCGAGTGGTCAGACAATGACGACTTGACCACTGCTCATCGGCGACCGGCACATATACGGGTGGTGAACGACTTTGCGAGAGCTGGGTATTGCACTGTTGCCCTCATCAGTGGGAAATTTTTAGCGCCATCGCGCACGGCAAGGAATAGTAAAAGCACTTCCTTCAGGTCGAGGAGCACCACTGCACTGGACGTTGCATCCGAGAGGGATATTGGTGTTATTGGTCTCAAGATCAGGGCCCAGGCGACCTGTAGTTCGGATGCGGTGAATACCCTCACCCTCGCCACAATTCGAGTGGGGGTTGCGCTGGGTGGGAGGAGGGATGCACTCGGCCCGAGCTGTGGCGAGGTTCAGGGTATTTACCGCATTAAAACTACAGGTCGCCTGGGCCCTTATATTGAGACCAATAGTACATGATGGCACGCACGGTGGGTTTCGTTTTTTATCTATACCAGATATGCTATTTTAACGGATGCCTATTCCACTCTAATGTGTTTCACTCCTTTGCTGCTCTTTTTTTTAGTGACTGCCAGTGCGTATTGAGCAAAAAAATGTGGACTGAGTGGGAGAATTCGTATTATCGCTCGCCCCGTTATTGATAACATAGGAAAACTTTGGTCGCTTTGCGGGACGGGATAAATTTATCCGATCGGAATAAAATTTTGCACACAACCTTGTATCATGGTATTGACAAGAATTCCGACCCGGCCCGAAAGATCCTAGAAACTTTTGCAAAATGGACCACCCTAATGTCCACGTCCATCAATAATTCATTGTGGTTGCCATGGCATCAGCCTGCGAAGAGTCCGCTCGTAAAATCATCTTGGTTTCAGAAATGAGCGGCCTTGTCAAGCACTTCACGAGGTGGGGTAGTTCAGAGGTCGACAGCAGCGCGAAGTTTGAGATTTGCAGAAATTATATGCTATGAAAACGATGCCAACGCCACAGCCACTAACAGTATCAAATTCAGGCAGAACAAACAAATATGCCCTCAAAAGCTACTCAGTAGTCAGGTTTCAACAAGGCACAACGCACTCAACTTCCACGTACACGCACAACGGTAAACACATTACATAAGATCAGGCATTGGTAGGATTGTGATTGCAGGATTGCAAAATCCTGATTGCATTCCTTTTTGGTGGATTGCACCTGTATTTGAAATCCATTAAAAAAAGCAGGATTTGATTGCGGATTGGATTGCATCATACTTCAAATTTTTGCAATCCAATCCGGATTGTGTTTGATTAGTGCTTTAAAATGGTTTGTTGGGATTGAAAATTATGAGATCGGCTTCATCAGCTTAATGTACTTTGCTATCAAGGGCTTTACATCGAAACTTGAAATAATTTAAACGCTTTTAATTTAAACGCTGATGAACTACATAGGAAGGGCAAAATTACGTATTTGAGGGCGAGTTTTAAAAATATAAAACACTGCTTGGGTAGAGGTTTAAATGTGGGGGTGTTTGAGGCAAAAAATATTTCCCATAAAATACCTGTGCCTTAGATAGGAATTACTCGCAAGACTAGGTACTAGTGATTTGGGGTGATTTGGGGATGGAGGCACGGCCCTATGCCCCCCTCCCTCCCCCAGATCCACTAGTGCACATAATAATACAACAGGATTGCAAAAAAGGATTGCGGATTTGATCACAATCCAAGTGAAAAAAGGGGATTGCGGGTAGGAATGCAATCCACTTCGGCACTAGGAATGTGGATTGGGAATGCAATCCTTTCAAAAAGGATTTTACCGATGCCTGCATAAGATACACGATACACACCAGCGCGGCGCGCAGCTAAGGCGACCACTCAACCACCCACGGGTCCCAGCCCTCCAGGCTTCGGCTAGTCCTGCGCGTACCAAACAGCCGTTTCAGCAGGGCGAGAGACGGGGATGAGACACGGGAACGAGCTCCAGTCACCGGGAGAAGAGGTGAGCCCAAATGAACACACCGTATGAGCACACTCTGGGGGACCCTAAAGCCGGCCAGTGCAGTTCTAGGAAGAAACTGGTTAAAAACAGACACGGGAAGAGAGAAAACGGGGTGACGTAAACCTAGGGCGAACGGAGGGAAGAAATTATATAATGTAGTCCACTCTCCATAAATTTAATCCAGGACATTATTTGACAGATGGTTTTAATGATGTTTCGCACATTATAACGTTATTGTAGGGGCCGATGCCAGTGAAGAAAACAAATCAACGAAGTCATGTGCCAAAGAAAACATGAAACCATAACACGCCTCTAAAACTATCGCTTGCCCTCGCATTAGCATTTCGTTTAGCTTCACCCCAACGATAAACATTGGCGGGTTCATCGGGTTTAATTTAGCCCAGCGAAATAAAATAATCATTATTAGTGAGTAGACGCGCCTGGTCCAGCCAGCGCGGCGCCAAGAAATTCAGACGATCAGTTTGACGCATGGTGGCTGATTTTGTCGCTGACGTACGCTGACCGACCGCACTCAGCTGCTGACCGGAGACTGAGAGCGATCACTGACCGATCCATCACCCCACCGGCCGACCTGACCTGACTGCGGAGACTGGGAGATAAAAACGAACCGGAAAGGTCACAGG